ACGGACAAAGGGCAGTAGGTTTCTATTTCAAGTGGACAAAGTTGCAAAATCACCTCTACCACACGGCCATTGAACGCTTTCAGTGTTGCTAGCCGGAATCTAGGTGTCCTCTAAGTGGAAGACACACCAGACTTCAAAGCCTTAGAGAGAAAATAAGAACACAGATATTCCTTCATAAAGGTGTGCCTTGTGACACTGTTTCTGGGGAGACATGAACAAATGTTTATGTACCCCAGATAAGGAACCAAAGACAGACCAAGCTACAGATACCATCGTCCAATTTGATGAACAAATGAGTTTTATGGGGGTTATGTAGAGGAAGATGGGTGAGGGCTTACTGTTGGCACAGAAATGACTCAGAGATCTGCATCACGAAGTCTACCCCAGTGTGGGTGACAGCTCACCAAGCCAGAAACCTGGACCCATGCACAGTCTGCAAGCAGCTCAACAGGTTGCACAGTGTCATTTCCAAGCTGGTTTTGCTTCTTGCAGGGGGCTCAGTCAGACCCAGCCTCTTCTGGGCAGCTCACTAGTCTAATAGTGTCCTTATAGTCCTTAAAGATCATATATGCTTGGGGAGGGAGGGGTCTAGTGTATTTTGTCAGTTTCAGGGACTTCCTGAAGCTCTGAATTGTTTAACTCTTGATCTTAAAGAGCTTTCTTGCAGGACAGAATGTTTCGCCTCCTCTTAGAGCAGTGGTTTTCAACCTCTGGTGGATTGAATATCAGATATTTACATTACGAGTCACAACAGCAGCAAAATTACAGTTATGAAGTAGCAAGGAAAACAGTTATATGGTTGGGGGTTACCACAACATGAGGCACTGTATTAAAGGGCCACAGCATTAGGAAGGCTGAGAACCACTCACCTAGGCCATCTTGTTTCACCTCCCAACATCCTGTGTCTTAAAGAACTTCTCTCCAAGATGGAAGGTTTCCATCTCAGAGGAGATGGCTGTACAGCAGTGCTATACTGATGACGTGTTAGAGCAATGCTTTGCACATATTTAATTAACTGAAATATCTCATGAGGTCACCTGCTTGTTTTTATTTTCATTAATGAAACTACTAGGAAAATCTAAATGGCCAGTGTTGGTGAGTTGGCTCAAGGGGTAAAGGCGCTTGCCTGTAAGCCTGACGACTGGATTTCTGTACCCAGACCCATATGGTAGAAGAGAATGGATTCTGGCAAGTTGTCTTCTCCCACCACACATGCATCCTGGTGCTTGTACACACACTAAATAAATAAATGTAAAAATAGTGAAATAGAGCTACCACAAGGGTTATATTTTATTTTATATTAATAACTCTACTCTATCATCTTTTAGAATTATTCTTTTTAAGCACTGTGTTATGTGGGTACTCAGGACCCTGAGTGAATCCCTAGAGCTCAGGGATTCAAGAATAGCCTAAGAAACATAGGGAGCCTTAAAAACAAAGAAACACAAAAAATAAACCCCCTCTTCCCTAATCTATTTTCCTCTCAGTTCTTGCCCTCCCCCAAATCTACTGCATATTTAGTTCAGAAGCCCGAGTTGCAAGATGGAATGTAGAGACCTATTTCCACAAGGACTGGGGATTCTCCTAGTCTGGAGACAAAACCTGTCTCATGGGAGATCAGAAAGCCAGAAGGAGCTATGCTTGGCCTGTAAGTTCCTGAGGCCAGAAGGACTGTGAGTTTAGGTCAGTCTGGGCTACATAAGAGTCCCAGCACAGCCCAAGTAACGCAGCAAATATCCCCATCTTAAAAAAATAAGAAAGTCAGAAAAAGAATTGGTGGGAAGGGCCAGTCTAGCAGCTCCTAACACACACACACACACACACACACACACCTCTCTTTGTCTCTCTGTGTCTCTCTCTGTGTCTCTCTGTCTGTCTCTCTCTCTCTGTCTGTCTCTGTCTCTGTCTCTGTCTGTCTCTCTCTCTCAGGGTTTCCTCTCACCAACATACTCCACCTGCCTCTGATTCAAGATATGGTTCTAGGTGGTGACCCCCCCCCACGTGTTCTATCTTCATTTTTTCCATCTGGAGCTCTACCTTGCATTCTGCAGACCTGGAAACTTGTTCTCTGGCCACATCTCTGGCCTTGAATGGTTTATTTGGCTGTTTACTTGGACTGTGAATCTCCCTTCAACACCCATCCTCAGGGCTCTCCATGTGGAGGCTGGAAAACCTCCCCCCACAGAGCAGCCCGGCTCCCGGAAGCCCAGTGCTACCCACAGTCATTCCTCCTTTCCTCTCCGCACCCCTTCATCTTCCCCTCCCTCTCCCCTTCTCCAGCCCTCCCCTGCCCTTGCTCCTCCCCTTTGCCTACCGCTTTCTCTTTCCCCCAGGCCTTCCATTTGCACCACAGGACGCACTCTTTGGGTAGGACATGAAGGACCTTTCACAGGACAGGTAACTCTCTGAGCTGTCTCCTGCAGTTGGGTCTGTCTCTGGCTTCTGCTTACCAGGCGGTGTTGTTTCTTTGTTTCCTTTTCTGACGTCCATCCTTCCTTAAATTCCTGCCAAAGTGAGCCAACCGCCCACTGGAAAAACACAAAAGCAGGCTGACTGCCAGCTAGCTGTCATGTGACCGGGGGCTTTGTTCAGGTGGTCAAGAATCAGGAGACAGCTTCCCCCTTTGCTGGTAAACAGTGGGGTGTCTATGGTGGGCTTTACAGGAACAGTCTGGGAAGCCAGGGGCATGGGAAAGAGAAGCAGAGAGTTAACAGCCCTCCCAGGGATGAGAGTGAGGACCAGAGGAGTAAGGAGGTTGCTTTACCTCCTTCCCCACGCTTCCGCAGGCTGACTCAGCAGGGGAGAAAGAGTGGCCTTTCCCTGTTCTCTCACACTTGTGGTTAGTCTTCAAGATAAAGTTTCCACTCTGGGCGATTCTCACAGGCCTCCCAGAGAAACCAGCCTCCAGCCTTAAGACTGACACACCGCTCTGGCTCTTGCCCCGCCCCCATTTCCTTTCCTTTAATTTATTTAGCTAGTTAGTTATGCTTATACATTTACTTTTGCTGTCACAATATAAAAATTTAAAGCATTTAATTTTTTGAGATTATACTTTAATTACAAACTTTTCCATACACTTCTCCCTACGCTCCTTTAAATTGACGGCCTCTTTTTTTTCACTAATTGTTATTGCATGTATGTATTTGTATATACATACATATTCCCAGATATAAGTTGTTCAGGCTGTATAATGTTGCTTGGATGTGTGTTTTAGGGCTGACCGTTTGGCACTGAACAACAAGTCGGTGTGCTCTTCCCTAGGGAACACCACGCCTTCCTCTCCCAGCTCTCCTTAATTGCCTATAGTTCTTTGTGTAGGGCTGAGGACTCACAGGCTTTTCTCCATCCAGTCTGGCATGTTTGTTGGTGTCCTTGTTCAGCTCATATTTGGGCATTCACGTTGGTGAGCTACGCTTTATGGATGTAGCTTCTGATATTACTAGGAGACATAGTCTCATAGAAAATGACCCATTACTCTGGCTCTTATGGAATGTCTGCCCCGTCTTCCAAAATGTTTCCCAAGCCTGGTAGTCAGAGCTATACAGTGAGACTGTATCTCAACAAACAACAAACAAGATTGAATGCAGGAAACAAGTTATGAAAGGGGTACAAAGCTAATTGTCTCTCTAATTCTAACTCTGTCATAGAGTTTTTGTTTGGGGTGGAGGATAAGTATTTGATTATGGAAGAGCAATACCTAGTGTGAAGTTCCATAGCTTTCTTCCCAATGACTATTGTAAGTGTATAGAAGTTCATTGACATGTATAGTCTTAGGATCTGGTTAATTTCAGTATGTAATTTTTTGCATTTTTTTGTTTAAAATATAAAAAAGATACCCTCTTGTGTGGAAGGGTCCCTTTGGGTTCTACAGCTGGCAGGGAAGTGATCTGCAAAAATACAAGAATGAATCTCAGTACAGCATGATTTTGGTACTGTTGCTTGGCCAGGACTTCTAGAGTCTGACACCAGATCATTTACTTTAACCATATGTAAGCACAGCACATTTTGGGGGAAAAGTTTTCTGAAAATAATTAACTCAGCACTGTGAGCACAAGCTCAAAACGTGTATACACTGAAGCTCTTTATAAAGCACATTGGCTTCATCTGTAAGATGGGTTCCTGTTGACTTAGAAACAATGCTCAAGATAATGGTTGAGGGAGAATGACTGAGGTAAACACAGTGGGTGGCCCTAAGACAACATAGAAGTCACTTAGGCTGTTGTAAAGTAAAATGGCATCTCGCAACAGGTGAGTCTTGTGCCTTTTATGCTCAAGGTTTTAGGGGGAAAGGGTCTGGGATAAGTGAAAGATAAATTCTGGGTGGTATGGGTGGAACCCAGCTCATCAGACACAAAGGGTCATCAGTTTGTAAGGTACATCCATTCCCAGCATCCCAGGGGCAACAGGTTAAGCATCTCTTTTCCTTTGAAGGATGCCTGAGAGTGTGCACAACATTTTTGCCGCCTACATCTTTGTTAGCTTTGCAGATCCCAGAAAGATAGTGAAGGTCTAAGGGAAGAAGCTTTGTTAGGGTATTTTATCTTCCTTCAAAGGATGATGCCAGAGACTTAGTATGGCCAGCCATTTGATTCTGATGTTGTCAGTGGGGTGCCTTTTGGGAGTCACTTACTGAAGCCATGGGTCCTGAAGGCCATCTTTCTTCCCTCTTTCACTCTGTTCTCCCTGGTCTCAGTGAAGAGACGGAGCTGCTCTGCCATGCCTTCCCCAAAGTGAAGGACTGAAACCAAGAGGCAGACTAAGTCCTTCCTCCCTGACATTGTTCTCTGCTGCAGTGACGGAAAGGCTAATACATTTAGTGGTGTGGAATCCCACCACCAACAAGGAATTGTGACTGTTGTTCAGTACCTCCCTGATAAAATTCTTTGGCATGTCACCCTCCTGTTAGAGGTAGAGAAATGCAAGGGACAATGGGAGATGGGAGAGAGGGAGAATCCTTCAGCGACATCTGCTTTGCTGACAGTGTCCTTTATCTCTTCAAGGTCAGCAATGAAAGGCGGGAACCTGGACGGTGGCTCTGAATCCTGATTGCCTGGCTGTCAGGGAGACACATGTGGTCAAAGATGAATTTGAGAAAAGTAGCTGCCGGCTACTTGAACTATGGAAAAGCAGGGCCATCATGAGATGGAAGCCATCCCATCGGGTTGTCACTCCCACATTAAACTGCTGAAGGTCAGCAGGGAACACCTGGTTGCCAACATCCGAAACACTCAGTGTCTGGTGGACAACTTGCTGAAGAATGACTACTTCTCAGCTGAGGATGCAGAGATCGTGTGTGCTTGTCCCACACAGCCTGACAAGGTGCAGCGAGGGGCGTTGGTGCTGACAGTTACGGACCTGGGTCTCTAACATCTCTTCCCCACTCCGGACCCATGCAAAGGTCTTGGGAGAATTTGGTGGACTGAACTGACTTTCACCCTGGGTCTTTGTTTTTGTTGTTGTTGCCGCCGCTGCTGTAATCCCCACCTCAGCTCCTGTGGCACGCGGAGTAGTGATTGCAGGTGTGCGTTCACACTGGGGTCTTTGGATTATTTTCATTTTTGTGCCTCAGCTTGTGCGCTACAGAAAAGATTGTTTATAGATGTATACTCACACTGGGGTCCCAGTAAAACATCAATGCCCAAAGTGCGAGTTTCCTGGTTGAGGCTGCAACAAACCCTTCCCTTTGGGCTCTCCCCCCTTTAAACGAGAAAGAGCATGGCACCCAGTGCCCCAACACCCCAAGGGCACAGAGGCAAAGACTCGGGGTGGCCACCCACAAAGACAGATTTAGAAGTCACTGCTTCCCAAGGTGGGACCCCATTGAAGACTTTCCCACGCTGTGAATGAGGAAGTAGAACAACCATCAGTTCCCTGAGCTTGGGAGTGGCATCTGAAAAATAAAAGGGTCCCCTAAGTCCCTGGATATAAAAATGAAGTGCCTATTTCAGATGAGGTGGGGAGGGGCTGGAGACACCTAAAGAACTTCTGCAGGGGGGTGGCACACACACTGATATGGTTTCCTCTGTTAACCCTCCCCTTTTCTTGGCCTTTTGGGACAGAATCCCCCTCTGTAGTCTAGGTTGAGTTGACACTCTGACCCTCTTGCCTCAACCCCCTGAGTGCTAGGACTTACAGCTCCCGTGTGCTCTATCTGATTTTTAATAAAAAGGCCATTTGGGGCATGAAATTTGATGGGAGTTTGTTACCCTCCTACAGGATAGCCAGATATGCTACTTCCTCTTGTCTCTCAAGTGACTCTCCTACCACACTTGTCCTGGGTTGACACTGACATGAAGTTAGGAGGGACAGGCAGAGCAACGTCCACAGCTGGAGGGCTTTTCCCGTGTCTGATCTGTTTTTAGGCTCACAGACAACTTCTCCTGGTCTCTTATTGCTATGGGAATGAATTCTTTGCTAAAGAAGCCCATTTTGCAGATTCTATGTTGACCCTTCCACTGGGTGTGCTGGTGGCCAGGCCATTATTTCTGTACTAGCCCCTGCATCCCTGGGCTGAGTGTACCCCCGGGATCCTTTTGACAGGAAGATGCCCCTCACACCAGCTCACGCTCTTAATGTTTGTGCCATCCGTAGGTCCGAAAAATTCTTGACCTGGTGCAGAGCAAAGGTGAGGAGGTGTCTGAGTTCTTCCTCTACGTGCTACAACAACTCGAGGACGCTTACGTGGACCTCAGGCTGTGGCTAGCAGAGATCGGCTTCTCCCCTTCCCAGCTCATTCGGAGCAAAACTATCATCAATACTGACCCAGGTAGGAGTCAGCCCCAGCAGGACTATAGCACGGGTATGAAGGAAGGCACGGGTCTGGAAGTGCTGTAATACCATCGCCCAGGTGTCTATAAAAGCCTAGCCAGCAAGAGCAACTTGGCGGCCTTGGCCTCCACCTCACAGAAAAAGCCTCAGTGTTCCTTCCGCTTTGGACAGAAGAGATGGTCTCTGTCACCAGAGTGCAGCCTAGGTGATTGCAACGAACCGAGCACACGGAGCCTGCCGGTTTGTTTTTGCTGTCTTTGCTTCTGGGGGTGGAGCCTTGTGCCTTCTGCGTGCTAGGCCAGTGCCTAGCTGTTACACTGTTACACACCCCTGACCCTCTCATATGGTTTATTTAGGGGTCCCAGGGATTGGGGAAGGAAGGCCTTTCTCCCAAGTGCTTGCTCGCTACTTACTGTGACATGTGATAGCACAGTTTTGACACTGTATTTTCTTTTTCAAATTTGTTCTACCAGAGCTAAGGTGTCACTCAGTGGTAATGCATTTGCCTAGCACACATAGGCTCTGAGCTCAACCTCCAATACACAAATAATAATGTAAAAAATATTGAGAGCATGCCATCAACAAGGGCCCCACAATTTTTAGACTCCACTTTGACCTGGTGTTTTAGTCACTTTACATCTCTGTGACAAAATGTCTCAGCAACGCAACTTTTAAAAAGGAAAGCCTTGTCTTAGTTTCTCAGTCCATGATTGGTTGGTTCCTTTGCTATGTGCCTGAGCGGGGCTGAAACGTTATGGTGGAGGTGCATGGCGGAGAACAGCTCCTCCCCATCTGCAGTGAGAGAGAGTGAGGAGTTAGGAACAAGATACACTGTTGAAAGGCACTCCACCAAGACCTGCCTCTTCCAAATAGGCCCCGCCTCCTAGTTTCTGCTGTTTCCCAACAATTCCATTAGATTATGAAACCATCAAGTGAATTGAGCTTGGTGAGATCAGAGCCTTCAAGATCCCATCACTTCCCCTAAGTCTGCTGACTGGCCCTGTCATTGGCCTTCAGGGTCATACCAGATGCAAGACATTACAGTTTGGAAACTGAAAGAAAGGACCTTCCCGGAAGAGTGAATGCTTAGGGAGAAAAGGCCAGCCATCAGTGCCAAGGCTGAGTTTGTTCCTATAGCCCCAGAGGTGCCAGCTGTCCTTAGCCAGCCTCTTGCCGACACTGTTCCTTCTTGTTCGCGTTTCCTTTGTGTGTGTGTGTGTGTGTGTGTGTGTGTGTGTGTGTGTGTGTGTGTGTGTGTGTTGTGGGATATTTATTCCCAGGGTGGGCAATTCTTTTAAAGGACTTCTAAGTTGGTTCTTTCAGTCATGACTAGCTTTCGAGAATAATTCACGCTATAAGATGCCGCACATACATGAAAGATTCACATCATAGGATTTCACATCTGTGAAATGTCCAGAAAAAGCACACTTATTAAGGCAGGAAGCCAATCAGCAGTTGTCAGTGTCTGGAGTTGGGACAGAACAGAGGCTGGCTACAAATCAGCTCCAAAAACTTTGGGAGTGTTATGGAGATATCTAGAATGAACTAGAGTAGCATTTATTGAATTTTATAAATTTACTAAAAATTAATTGACTAGTGCATAGTGCAATTACAAAAATGTTGTAATGTATCTAAAATGAACTAGAGTAGTATTTATTGAATTTTATAAATTTACTAAAAATTAATTGACTAGTACATAGTGCAATTACAAAAAATTTGTAATAAAAATTATTATGAGTTATAACCAAAATAAGCTATAAAATATAGTTAGCACTAAATTTCCTTTTTAGTGGGGATTTGTGTTCTGGAGCAGGATCTATGTAAGCTCAGGTTGGCCTTGAACTCTACAGGGTTTCTCTGTGTAGCCCTGGCTGTCCTGGATCTCACTCTGTAGACCAGGCTGGCCTCGAACTCACAGAGATCTGCCTGCTTCTGAGTGTTGGGATTAAAGGCCTGCAGCACCACTACACAGCGGCCTTGAATGCTTGATCTTCCTGCCTCAGCCTCTCAACTACAGAGATTACAAGTCCCCATAGCCATCCCTCTTTATAAAATTTGAACAATCGATTGGACTAAGTTCGTGGGAAAAGCTATAAATGAATCTAGGAAGGTACATATGAGTATCTGATTTTTGTTAATTGAATAGTTTAAATTCAAAAACTATTTTAAAGGATCTTGTAGAACACTCTTTTGTTTGGCATTAAATCTCCCCCCCCCTTTGGTCATTCAAGTATGCTGGGAACATGGAGGTAATAGGAACAGATTGTGGTATCTCTACCCCTTGTGGCAGCTTGAGGCTCACCCTTGGGGCTTACGCTGAGTGATTGCGACTCAAGGTGCTCACCCTGGGAGTCAGAGGCTGCATTGTTTTAGCTCAGTGTATTTAGGTGTGATGTTTGAGGCCAGGCACAGATCCTCTGTAAATCAGACTAATGTCCAGTCTTGTATTTTATAGCCAAAAGTTTTGGCATACAGTTTTGTCAGCCCCTTATTCTAGAAATGAAGAAAGCCTGGGGTAATTTCCCCCTACACAAGACTTTCAGCCAGGACTGACTCTGCTATTCAAACAAGACTGTGGGCTGTGGTCAGGCAGCAGAGTTGGCTGGCCTGGTCCTCAAGTGTGAGCGCTTTCTGTCTCTAGAGTTCAATGACAACATTGTACATGGGAACAAGGGAGGCCTGACTCAGACACTTGACCTGGAGGGGCCTCCAGCTGGCAAAACCTGAAGTTTTGTGACACTGGCTCTTTTAGGCCCTGGGGGGGGCTCCTGTTAAAGGAGTGAATGACTTGGCTCAGAGTCCCGGCTGTGGGTTGGTTTGCTTGTATGATTGCCTCTGCATCCTGAGATACCCTGTTTAATGCATCTACTCCTTGTCTCCTCACCTGGTTGCTGGGAAACATTCCTCCCCGCTCCAGTGAGCAGGTACACCCAGCAACTGCGACACCAACTGGGCCGCGACTCCAAATTCATGATGTGCTATGCCCAAAAGGAGGACCTGCTGCTGGAGGAGACCTACATGGACACACTCATGGAGCTGGTAGGCTTCAACAACGAAAACCTGGGCAGCCTGGGAGGCCTGGACTGCCTGCTGGACCACAGCACCGGCATCCTCAACGAGCATGGCGAGACTGTCTTCGTGTTTGGGGACGCGGGAGTGGGCAAGTCCATGCTGCTGCAGCGACTGCAGAGCCTCTGGGCATCCGGCAGGCTGGCCTCGGCAGCCAAGTTCTTTTTCCACTTCCGCTGCCGCATGTTCAGCTGCTTCAAGGAGAGCGACACGCTGAGTCTGCAGGACCTGCTCTTCAAGCACTTCTGCTACCCTGAGCAGGACCCCGAGGAGGTGTTCTCCTTCCTGCTGCGCTTTCCCCACACAGCGCTCTTTACTTTCGATGGCCTGGATGAGCTGCACTCGGACTTCGACCTGAGCCGCGTGCCGGACAGCTGCTGCCCCTGGGAGCCGGCACACCCGCTGGTCCTACTGGCCAACCTCCTAAGCGGGAGGCTGCTCAAGGGCGCCGGCAAGCTACTCACTGCCCGCACAGGGGTAGAAGTCCCCCGCCAGCTTCTGCGCAAAAAGGTGCTGCTCCGGGGCTTCTCCCCGGGCCACTTGCGTGCCTATGCCCGCAGGATGTTCCCCGAGCGCACTGCTCATGAGCATCTGCTGCAGCAGCTGGATGCCAATCCCAACCTCTGCAGCCTGTGTGCGGTGCCGCTCTTCTGCTGGATCATCTTCCGCTGCTTCCAGCATTTCCACACGGCATTCGAGGGCTCCTCGCAGCTGCCGGACTGCGCCGTGACCCTGACCGATGTCTTCCTGCTGGTCACTGAGGTGCATCTGAACAGGACGCAGCCCAGCAGCCTGGTGCAGCGCAACACGCGCAGCCCAGCGGAGACGCTGCGTGCAGGCTGGCGCACGCTGCATGCACTGGGCCAGGTGGCGCACCGAGGCACCGACAGGAGCCTCTTTGTGTTTGGTCAGGAGGAGGTGCAGGCTTCGAAGCTGCAGGAGGGGGATCTGCAGCTGGGCTTCCTGCGCGCTCTGCCCGATGTGGGCCCAGAGCAGGGCCAGCAGTCCTATGAGTTTTTCCATCTCACACTCCAGTCCTTCTTTACCGCCTTCTTCCTGGTGGCAGATGACAAAGTGGGCACCAGAGAGTTGCTGAGGTTCTTTCGAGAGTGGACGTCTCCCGGGGAGACACCAAGCACATCCTGCTATCCTTCCTTCTTCTCCTTCCAATGCCTGGGTGGCGGTAGCCGGTTGGGCCCTGATCCTTTCAGGAACAAGGATCACTTCCAGTTCACCAACCTCTTTCTGTGCGGGCTGCTGGCCAAGGCCAGACAGAAACTCCTTCAGCAGCTGGTGCCGAAGGCTACCCTGAGGAGGAAGCGCAAGGCCCTGTGGGCTCACCTGTTCGCCAGCCTGCGCTCCTACCTGAAGAGTCTGCCCCGAGTCCAGAGCGGAGGCTTTAGTCAGGTACATGCTATGCCCACGTTCCTGTGGATGCTGCGCTGCATCTACGAGACACAGAGCCAGAAGGTGGGGCGCCTAGCCGCCAAGGGCATCAGTGCTAACTACCTCAAGCTGGCCTTCTGCAACGCTTGCTCTGCCGACTGCAGCGCCCTGTCCTTCGTCCTGCACCATTTCCACAGGCAGCTGGCCCTGGATCTGGACAACAACAACCTCAATGACTATGGAGTGCAGGAGCTGCAGCCTTGCTTCAGCCGCCTCACGGTCATCAGGTGAGGCTGCCAGGCACCTCCTGAAAAGGGTGAGGAGGACAAGGCAGGCTTGGGGCCACAGCACTGGTAACGTGGGTCACGGTTCTTGGTCTCCCCATGACACAGGGACTCAACCCTTCTGTCTGGGGACAGGGTGTGGTAGGCATGGAGGAAAGCGAGTCAGGTGACCAGTTTAGCTTCAGCGGGGTGTTCTGTAACTGTGTAATCTTGGGGAGCCCCAGGAGAGAGACTTGCTATTGTAGTGTGGGCAAAGTGAACAGCCAGTGTAGACTGAAAGTAGGTGAAGTGCATTAGCGTTGTAACCCAACTCAATGCCCCCCCCTCCCCCCCGTAAGACAAGGGCCGCTATTGCCTTAGAACATGGTTGCCCATTTAGGCATTAGGAAGTGGAGGCAGAGAAGTTAATGAATTGCTCCAGGGCCCATAGCTGAGGTGCGGTGTGACCAGAAGGGGAAGACTATGCCTTGAAGATTAGTCTGAGGCTCAAAAATAGCAGTGTCTGGCCTTTGGCTCCTGGTGTCTGGTATTGCTCCAGGGAAAGCAGGCTATGAACTACTCGCCTTGCTTCTCCTGAGAAACGTAGCGGCGTGCCAGCTGTCTTGAGGCAGTTTTCCTGCTTGACGGTAGTAAAGAGGGGCCTAGGTGCTGCTGCGGTTAGCATTTCCTGTGTGAAACAAACCTTGTCAGTCTCTGGCAGGACTTAATTCTGCCACAGTTTGGCTCCTTCAGTTCTGCAGAGCAGTGGGGATTTGGAGCCCATTCTCAGGCATGGGAGCCAGAGTGAGAATCATGGGTGGACTCAGGTATACAGCGCTGAAGGTGGCAGCCTAGAACCAAAGCCAGCATCAGGTCTCTGGGCTGTAAGTCAGCCACTCTCCCTGGCAATCTCCACCCCGCACTGCTCATGCCTGCTCTGTAAAGGGGAACTCAGCAGCAGAATGGAACCTGCCCTGTCTGGCTGTTCTCCTCACCAGCAAAGGAAAGGGCAGCTTATGGAAAAACGGGCTTATGGTCGACCATGGAAGTACTGTGAGTTCCCTGAGGACATCAGGTAGGATTAATTGCAGTAAAGAGTTGGAGAAAACATCAAATCTTGGAAATATATACATACATATACATACATACATGCGTACATACGTACATATTCTTTCTCTGGAGCAAAGTCTAGGAGTAGACAAAGAATGATATGTTGTCTGTCTGACCAGAACCCAGGCTCTCTTTTGTTTTACCTGGCTTCTACATCCTGAGCCAATATGGCTGCCTACAGCTCCAGCTAGCTGCTTAGTATTGTAGCCAGAAGGAATCACAGAAGGACATATCCTACTTTGTAATTTTTTTCTTCAATATGGGAGTGTGGTCTGGAGGCATCATACATGACACACAAGTGTTCTAATATCGAACACCCCAAGTGGTTTTAAAAAGCTGTCACCAATGATACACTGTCTTAGATGTCTTCACGCAGGACTTGATTGTGCATGGCAAGCTGGAAAAGAGGAGGGGAGTGCAGGGGATTGTACTGCTAAGAACACACAGATGCTGGAAGCACCTGCCATGTCAGGACTGGAGAATGAAACAAAAGGGAGGACATGCTCCCAGGTGTGGTAGAGAAGAAGGTTTATTTGAGGAAACGCATAGCCTGAGGCAGAGACATCTGGGAAAATCCAGAGTGGGCATGACCCGAAGATGGAGCCAGGCCACGTGAGGAGGGGGTGGAGAGAGCCAAAAGACCAGGAGACCAAGAAGCCAAAAGGGTAAAAAGGACCAGTGTAGCCAAGAGGGCCAAATCATACAGGGAAGAGCAGCTGGGGGAAGGGTAGGGGGTAGAGTGTGCCAGCCAGGAGGACTCTATAACAGGTAGGGACTGAGGGGTGCCAGGCAGCTAGGGCCCACTTTGATATGTTAATAGGCATCTCACGTATTTTGCCCTGGGTTGGAGACCTAACAGGGATTGACTGTGCAATGTATGCCTTGTGTTTGCATCCGGTCAGATGCTTGTAGGGGACGGGTCCTGTGAGGCTGCCCTCATCTTTTTGATGTAGCTTAGTCATGAAGCTTTTTCTGTTCTCTCTTTTAATTGCCATGGACGTCAGCTATGGGGTCAAACTTAGCCAGTGGCCTGCGCTTGTAAATAAAGTTTTATTGGCGCACAGCCGCATCTGTCGTTTACTTCTCGGTTGTTTTCCACTGTAGGGTTGAGTAGTCATGCTTGGCCCAGCACAGCCTTCACCATCTTCCAGCTGGTCTTAGTGTAGAAAGTCTGCTCCACCCCCACACAAATCCGGTCCCTTCGTGGGGTTCCTGCTCTCACCTTGTCCCTCAGCTGCTTTCCTTCTTCAAGCTTGTTACAGAGATTGCTTGGGTATGTAGGGGTGGAAAGAAAGAAAAATGGGGGGGGAGAAGGCTATTAGCAGTTCAGTGGTACACTTGCCTAGCGTGCTGCTAGCTGTGGGTTCTATCCCTGGAACCTTGTTTGTATTATTCACCCAATAAATACATGCACACATGCACATTTTGCTCATGAAAATCGATTTTTCTGGCTTAGACATTTTTCTAGAGAATTTGCAGTCTGTGACTGGCCCTTGACCTACAGGACCCCATTTTCCTGCTCTTCTGTATGCCTGGCCCCCCCAGCCTGGCCTGCACAGGCAGTATTTGCACTGGGAGAGACTTGCTGCCAAGATCCACCCTTTCCGAGAGAGTTACTAGTTTTCTCTTGAGATTTCCAACCCAGAGTTGCTTCAAAAGGGCAATTTTCCCTGGCGGCAGGATGCTAGGCCTCATCCTGCATTTGTGGTGGGTCAGTTCCAGTGGGGACCCTCTGGTCCTGTACAAGTTGTTTCATGTCCTGACTCCACTCCTAAAATGCAAGTGTACCCCCCGGTAGCAGTGATCCCTAAAGGCAGTCCCTCACATCTCAGATCACATGACCCCAACTGTGCACAGAGAATGGGGAAGCAACACCAAATGCAGAATGTTGGAGATAGCTGGAAGCAGCTGGCTGCTGGTGCCCTTAGCCTTTGTGAAGCTTCTGCTTCAGGGGTGGGCCTTGTTGTTGGCCCCGGCTTGCAGGCAGCTGAATTCTTAGGCTGAGTGCTCCTGTGGATGTCCCTCTGCCCTGACTGACAGTTGTCTCTGCTGGTGTGTTTTAGACTCAGCGTCAATCAGATCACTGACACCGGGGTGAAGGTGTTGTGTGAAGAACTGACCAAGTACAAAATCGTGACATTCCTGGGGTAAGTCTTGCTTGAGGGTATTGGGCCTGCTACCTTGTCATAGTTCCAAGCGGCAGAAAGTTGACGGCCATGCGGCTCACTGGTGATGGAAACCATGGCCAGTGCTGGCATCCTCCAGCCTCAGCCTCCCATGGGTTGGGGTTACAGGCATGTACCACCACATAGGGCTCCAGGTTCTGTTCTAGGCTCGACTGGTATCTAGGTAGACTTGGAGTGAGATCACAAAAGCTTGTGGAGCCCCAGCTTCCTTACTTGTAAATTTGGGACCCAATCCAAGCAAGCTATTTGGGAGGATGTGAGGAGAAAGCATATGAGGATGGTTTTTGTAGATGTTAAATACCTGTTTATATGTTAGACTTGACTGCTTTGGATCTGCTCCTCAGTCTAGGGCAGGAGCATATACACTGAATAGTAGTGGTACAGCCAGAAGAGTCCTAGGTAGAGTCCTCAAATACAATAGTGCTGCAGAAAAACAAGTGGTTACTCAAACTAGGCAGGGTTAAGTGAAAACCACTCATAGACCCAAGTCAGTTGCTAAATCGGTGACAAAGAGCTTTGAGTTTTCGAGTTTGAGTTCCATGGCTGCTGCTGATCTTGTCGCTGGAACAGTTGCTGAGTTCACCTGGACCACTGGAGCATGGGGACACATAAGCAACATGGTCCTCTCTGTTATGTATGATGAGAGATAGTGGAGAGAAGCCTTGTTGCCTTTCTGGTCTTAGTTTTCAATCAGTGATAAAAGAAAAAAAGGGGGGCACAGGGCTTTACACCTCAGGAAACCCAAATCTCCACCCCCTGCATTCACTGAGCATTGTGTGCCAGGGCTGGGCTGTGCATGGTGGCATATACTCCCTGTGACTAACGGGGTGGTCAGATGCATGGATTCAGCACAGAAGGGAAATAAGGGGGCTGACTTTGGAGCCCAAACTGTGGTCCCTGTGAGTTCCCCTTTCAACTTAGACAGTGGAAATCAGCAGGCAGCATGTGCTCGATATAGGAGGAGGTGTTCATGTGACACTGGGACTTACAAAGGCCCCTGGCTGTGCTTTCTCTCCAAGTTTATACAACAACCAGATCACTGATATCGGAGCCAGGTATGTGGCCCAAATCCTGGATGAATGCAGAGGCCTCACACACCTTAAGTAAGTAAGTGGGGAAGGGGCAGGGACCCTTACAAGTTTCTTTTCTTTACAAATGCCTGGATCGCCTTTTCCATTACCCTAAAGCCTCTGCCAGCCCCATAGCCGTACTGGTCCAACTGTCCAGGGATGCTCATCTTGTGGCAGAAATATGGCCCAGTGTGGGGCTTGGCTTGTGGAAGAGTGGCCTGTTGGTAGTATTGGGGAATTAGCACTTTAATCTCCATGAGCACTGGCTGGAAGTGAGGGTTATATCTATTGTCCTTTTGGGGAAACCAGAGAAAGACCCTCTTCTTCCAGGGAGCTTGGTCCTTGGCACTGCTGTAGATGTGACCCTTCAGGCTGATGATCATCCAGCCCTCCTGGTAATGGAAACTCTCACCTTGACCATTGCCAATAAATATGGACATTCTCGAGTCTGCTGAAGTGAGTGATGGTCCTGAGGTCACCCAGAGAACCCCAGGGAATGCTCCAATGGTTGACCACCAGCAGAGATCGTGGGCTACCTCCTAGGGTGGACACTGGTGGCTGGTAACAGGCTATGGATCCCTCCCTGAGAGGAGGCCCCAGGCATAGATATGTGTGTGTGCCGGGAACAAGATCACGCTGGCAGAAAGGCCTCGGCGGTGTCAGGAAGAAGGGTGCCCACTGTGGAGTCCCTATATGAAGGCTAACCATGCACGTCCCTCTCTCTCTGCAGACTGGGAAAAAACAGAATAACAAGCGAGGGGGGGAAGTGTGTGGCTCTGGCTGTGAAGAACAGCACCTCCATTGTTGATGTCGGGTGAGTAGAAAGGAACACACACACACAAACACACACACACACACACACTCACGCACACACACACACACACACACTCACGCACACACACACACACACACACATGGTATCCGGCCTGCTGTTTATGCGAGCGTCTGCTCTTCTGAACATCCATGTGCCAGAAGGACCCTGGAGCTGGACCTTGATAGCTTCTGCATGAAAAATGGGTGGGAAGTCCCAGCAGCGGTGTCAGTGTCATTGTGATTGGGACACGGGAGCTTAGCTCTGCGTATTCACTGCTGCCAGAAGTTAGTCTTGGTTTTAAGAATTTATGATCCTCTGGATAGCTTTGTTTTTTTCATATTAAATTGTGGTAAAATTGGCATGTGTAAACTGGACCACCTTTACCATGTTTCACTATGTAGTTCAGTGGAACAAAGTGCATTGATGTAAGGCAGCCACGACACCATCTTTGTCCAAGGTGCTTCTCGGCTCTGGCTGTCCATCCTAGGCATCCAAATCCAAAGTGAGTGCATCGCAGAGGTTGTTTTGTGGTGGCTTATTTCACTTAACATGACACCCCCAAGGCTCATTCTGCCTCAAGGGTCATTCCTGTTGTCACATATGAGAATTCCCTTCCTTTCAGGCTGACTGCCCTCTGGATATCTGCATTTCATTTTGCTCACTGGTTTCTGGGTCACTGGACACCTGGGTTGTGGACACTGTTGATAGCCTTGGGCACACAAACATCCCTGCCAGATCCTACTTGTACCTCTGTGGGTTGCAGTAGAATGTCGATTCAATTTTTGATTTCTTTGTTCATTATTATGTTATTTTTCATTTAAGATTTTATGGATGTGTGTCCTTTGCCTGCATGTATGTTTATGTACCACTCACATGCCTAGAGTCACTGAGGCTGAAGAGGGCATTTGATACCCAGGAACTAACATCATAGATACTTGTGAGCTGCCATATGGGTGCTGGGAATCAAACCCAGATCGTCTTACCCTCAGAGGCAGCTCTCTATTCCTTATGTCTGATTTCTTGGAGGCCCCACGTCCTGTTCCTCAGAGCAGCACGGCATTTTACACTCCCGCCAGCAGCGCACGTGGGTTCCATTTTCTCCACCTTTCCTCCAGCCTTGTTTTTTCTGTTTTGTGAACAGCAGCCATCCTAATGGCAGGAGTGGCGTCTCGTGTGGTTAAACAACTCCTTGTGGCCTTGTGACTTTTCCTGGGTTATAAAAAGAACATACATGGCTTCCTTGAGAAACTATGGGGAAAATGAGCAATAGTAAAAATTGTCTTCCCAGAATTGCCTTTAAGCTGGATATAGCAGTGCATGTCTGTAATCTCAGAGCTTGGAGGGTCGCAAGTTCAAGATCAGCCTCAGCTGTATATGGAGTTCAAGGCCAGCCCGGGCTACTTAAAATAAGAGAATTGCCATTGACATTTGAGGTCATGTAAGCTCCTTTCAGTTTTTTCTCTCCTCTCCGCCTATTGCTGCTTTTACATAGCAGAAACCAACCCACGTGGACAGAATTTTGCCTTCATTTTTCACTTAGTTTCATGTCATAGTTTGACATCTTATTACAAAGTTGGTGCCATCCAATTGTACTGTGCACACATTTTTCTCGGCAAAGTACTAAAAGCTGGGGTCTCATAGCCCATACCTGAAAGCAGCCTGCTGGACCTTGCTTCAGGGCTCAGTCCTGTTGTGAGTGGGCGGGGCACATTGTTCAGCTCCCAGGAGACAGAGGCTGTCTTCCTACTGGGAACAGCACACCCTTCTGGGCCAGGTGCTATTCTAAGTGCTCACATCTGTGAAATCAAAGCATCTTCCTCACAAGTCTGCAAAGAATGTCCTCATTATCCCATTTGACAGAGAAGGAAACTGAGACCCAAGACATTTTAATGTCTGTATAAGGTTGCACAGACAGTAAGCAGTTGGCTGTCTTAGTTTGCTTTCTATTGCTGTGATAAAGACCATGGCCAAAATCAGCTTGGGGAGGGAAGGGTTTGTTTGGCTTACATTTTCCCATCACAATATATCATCCAGAGGAGTCAGGGCAGGAACTCAAGCAGGAACCAGGAGGCAGGAACTGAGCCACAGAGAAATGCTGCTTACTGGCTCCCTCGCTCCCCAAGGCTCCCTCGGCTCCCCAAGGCTTCCTTGGCTCCCCAGGGCTCACCCAGCTCCCCAAGGCTCACTCATCCTGCCTTCTTGGGTCCCCCAGCACCACCTGCTTAAGGGTGGCACTGCCCACAACGGGCTGGGCTCTGCCACATCAATCATCTATTAAGGAAGTGCCCTACAGAGTCTCCTATAAGTCCATCTGATGGAGGCACTGGGGTTCCTCTTCCCAATGGCAGAGTTTGAGGTGAGACTTTCATCATGCAGGATGTGTTGGTTGGTCCTCCAAGAGGTCTGCCTAGAGAGGAAAGTCAGCCGCACTAATCTAAGTCGCCACTGAGACTGAGGTGGCATGTATGGCCTGGCAGGCAACCTCCTTGCCACACACAAGGGAGGGTTACTAGTATGGTTTCAGCCACAGCTCCAGGCCTTGGCTTCCCGGGAGGCTGAAATCATCCAGGGTGGGAGTCTAACTCCTGTGCACAGCCCTGCTCTCAGGCCAGGGTAGCCTGGGAGCCTTCTCGGACTGGAGCCTTCGCAAAGTTCAGAAAGGCTGGTCCCAGTCTGTACAGCTGCTGATCAGCCTGTCTGTACGGTAGCTGGGAGCCCAGGGCAGGCTGTTTGTGCAGCTGCAGGCTGGGGCGAAGGTCACACACCTCCAGGAGTTGCCTGAGAGTGATCAAGAGGGGCAGCTGACATCAGACAGAGGTGTGGCTGTGTAATGGTCCATTTCTTGCCTCTGCTTTCAGGATGTGGGGCAATCAGATTGGGGATGAAGGGGCAAAGGCCTTCGCCGAGGCATTGAGGGACCACTCCAGCCTGACCAACCTCAGGTAACGCGTGCCTTCTGGGACGTGGGCTCCAGGGGCCCAGGGAGGGGCTGTTGGGAGGGGGGTGGCTGCCTTTCTTACTGGGGCAAGATTGATTGGCACATGACTTCTCTTGCTAAAGTTTTTCTCAATGGCTTTGAGGCATGCAGTGAGGCATGCAGTGAGGTTCTTAGCTCAGTGAGCAACAGGGAGACCTGGGACACCTGCAGTCCCTCAGCCATCTTGATGTGTACCTTCAGAGGAGGCAGCTGGGAGCAATTTTCAAGTCCGGATAAAACCAAAGGGACAGTATCCTCTTTGCTGCCCCTTCCTCTTTCTCAGATAATGAACGGCCTTCTGCTTGCACCCTGGCCTGATTCCAGCACGTTGGTGTCTTGGAGTCTCGTGGGTTCTACCATGGAAAGGGGTTCCAGGACGGTAACCAGAGAGACCTTCCCAGGTCTTGGCATGGGCTCCTGAAACACAGACGATCTGAGCTGCCCCATGAATGTCCTCACACATACAAGCTTGGCACACTTTGGGAGCACCAGAATTCCTTGGCCTTCAGCTCATGTGCAAAGCCCCGAGTTCTGCCTTTGTTTTCTACCTGGTCTTTTCCAAAACAGCCATAGGCCTGGCCTCACACTCCCAGGCAGCAATGCCCAGACACCTGCTGATGAGCCAATCACTCTGCTCCCTGCCCGGGACTGTGTCCAGACAGACACTGCCCAGATGACTGAGTGTTGAAAGTGAGGCCACCTGTGGGTGCGTCTGTAATAATGCATCACATGTGTTTTTCTTCCTAGTCTTGCATTCAACGGCATCTCGCCAGAGGGAGGGAAGAGCCTTGCACAGGCCCTGAAGCAGAACACCACACTGACAATATTCTGGTAACATTTTGAATCATTTCCAAGGGCTGGGGCTGGTCATTAGTCCCAAAGTTATAGAATCTAAACTAAAAAGCGCTTCTCCATTAAAAAGGAGAACTAAATTTTCCCCAGCCATTTCCACATACCCAGGCATAACGCATGGCTTTGTCACCCTCAGCTTCCATGAAGGTGCCAGAAGTCCCCTCAAAACACTTTCACCCTGGCCCAGCTTTCATGCACCTCACTCAAGATACCTATGCCCCCTCTTGCACGCCCCCTCTTGCACGCCCCTCTTGCACTGCCATTCACCCACGCAGCTGCCTCTTACCATACGCATACATCACAATTTGGCCCCCGTGCCCTAGATGGCCTGTCACTAGAAACCTTACATTTATTAGGTGGATGTTATCCCCATGGTGCTTTTGGTCATTCCCACCTTTCTGGCGGGCCATTTAATCCTTTGTTTCTCCTGATCTTTATTTGTGGGCCAGTTGCATTACCCCATGTGTCATCCTCTTGCCTCCCAGTACCCATTAGATCTCGCTAACATAGTATTAGTTACTGCTCTTGCCGCTGTGACGATATACCCGACAAAAGTTACTCCAGGAGAGAAGGATTTACGCTGGCAAACAGTAGCTGGTTTGAAGCTACTGTCCATCCCGATGGGGAAGACGGGGCAGCAGGAACATCAAACATCTGCCTTTCTTACTAGGGCAAGATTGATTGGCACATGACTTCTCTTGCTAAAGTTTTTCTCAATGGCTTTGAGGCATGCAGTGAGGTACTTAGCTCAGTGAGCAACAGGGAGATGAATACTGATACTCAGTTTGCTTTCTTCTTTTGACTGACCGTGGTGCTTGGGCCCGCGGGATGATGCCATCCGCATCTACCTCAGATAACCCAATCTAGGAACATGCAGGGGGTATATCTCCTTTGTGACTGTAGATCCTGGCAAGCTGACCATCTGTATAAACTATTACACATAGATATTGAAAATCCCATGTTATGTCCAGTGGAGTGGAGAACACCTGTAGCCCCAGCATTCAATGCCAGTTTAACACCAGCCTGGCCTTTGCCATGAGAGCTTGACTCAGAAAAAAACAATGTGCATCACCTTTTTGAGAGCTCTGACACTGGATCTGCTGCCCAGCCGACTCATTTTTAATTATTTCCCTTCCAAAAAGTCACCATTTTAAAATAGCATATGCTTTTAGGAAATGGTGTGCAGATGGACATCTGAGAAGGAGGAGAAAGTGCTTCTCATGGTTTTCAGATACTACTGTTCTCTTCCAGCCTTTTTTGTATATTCAAATGTGCATAAGACAGAGTAGCATCAGGCTATTACAGCTCTTCACAGTGCATTGCATACTTGAGATGTCTGTTCTGCTCAAGGTCTCTCACCTCCACACAGCTGATGTTTTGGCTGTGGCTTGGGTCTTGCCAGTGCATTGGAGGGTATAGAGAAGCATCCTGGCTTCTACCTGTGAGATGCCAGGAACACCTCAAATTGTGATGGTCAAAAAGGTCGGTCTCCCTCTAGGCACTGTCAAGTGTTCATGGACAGTAAAAGAATCTTGGTTGAGAGCCACTGCTCTCCATGGGCAAGAGTGCAAAATTCTTACTGCAAGCCATGGGTCCTTCTGCACCTTTCACACACGTGGACTTGTCCCACAGCCCATTGGTGTCTAGAGCATGCTAACACTGCTCCTTCTCTGTCCTCCCGTATTGTCTCTAAGGCACATTATACCTTTGAATGGATGCTTACTATTTTATCAGTTTCTTTTTGACAGGTACCTAAAATACTTCACATTTTGCATCATGAACACAATCCCCCAGTATGCATTGCAAGGCCTAAAACTTTGCTATATATCGGTTTCCTTTTTTAGCACTGAGGTTCAAACTTCGGGCTTTGGGCATGTTGGACAAGAACTCTGAAACTGTGCTGTATTCGCAGCCCTTAAATTCTTTTTTAAATTTTGAGACAGAGCCTCATTAAGTTACCTGGGCTGGTCTCAAACTCACGATCCCCCTGTCTTTGCCTCTGTGAAGCTGGGATTACAGATGCCTCTTTTCTTATCTTTGTTGACCGACCATCTTGCAATGTCAGGGTGAACTTCTAGTGTGATGACTTTCATCTTAAAGTGAAATACATTTAAGACTGGGGTAGATGCGACCAAACTGCCTTGCAAAGAATAATCTTTTAGACAGTGCCAGTTCTAGGCCAGCCTTCCTATTCTTTCAACCATTGGGACAAGAGCTGTTGACATCTGGGAGCTGTGGTGCCTTGTCCCGTCAGCTGCTGAGTTTAGAGCAATCCAGAGGCTCCCTGAGTTTGTCATGGAGTCCTTGTCCTTCACAACAGCCTCAGAGCACAGCCGAGAATTAATGCAGAAATACTAAACTACACAAAATATGGGTGTCCTATGATATTTTATTGACAGAGAAATCACTTACTTGAAAAGCCAAGAAAGCTGAGAACCAAAGGTCTGCACACTGCTCTCCAGGTCAAAACCAAAACCCAAAGAGAGAGAGTCTCCACCCCCTCACTCTATTTATCCCCCACGTGTTCTACTTATCTGTGAACACACCCACACGGGAGTGGTTAGCGCTACGAATACGTGCAATCTCTCCCTACAGAGAATGGATGGTTCACCATGCAGGGCTTTTCCAGGTCTCCATCCTGATCTGGGCATTGTGAGGCCAGTGGCAGACGGAGGTCTAGGGGCTGGGCGCTGACCTGCAGGCACTGGCTCCTTGTTTTGTGGGGCTGTTACTTTATAAAATACAAAGGTGGTGGTGGCGGCGGCGGTGGAGGCCTCGGCTCACGCCTTTAATCCCAGAACTTGGGAGGCAGAGGCAGGTGGATCTCAGTGAGTTCGGAGATCAGCCTGGTCTACAAAGTGAGTTCAGGACAGCCAGGACTGTTACACAGAGAAACCCTGTCTCGAAAAACAAACAAACAAAATCCAAGGGCGCTATCTGGGTGGGCAACTACGCTGATGGACTGAGGTCAGGAAACAGAGCTCTGTGGGCAGAGATCTTACTAGGTACCTGTGGCGCTGACCACGCCCGTTTGGGCATGTATGGGGCGTGGGATATAGGCCAGAGGAGAGAGAAGCAAGCTCTCTCTTGGGGTTCTGATCCGGTCTCGGAGAGCAGCTGAGACTGAGTGTTGGGAGCGCTGGCCCTGGGTTATCGGTTTCTCATGTAAGTGATTTCTCCCCAATTAAAATAACCTACAGCATCCCTATCCCATGTATGGTAATCTTCTTCCAGTAGAGCTCAGGAAAGGATTGACTGGAAGCTAGTGTATGTATGACTTTGCCTGCCATGATATATGCAGGGCTTCAGTGTAGAGTGGGAGCCTGGCCCTCAGCGTGTGATGCAGGGCTGGGAGGGAAGGCCCCGAACGGACTCTGTGAACTCACAAACAACATCTCTCCATCAGCCATCCTGACTCAACATTTCCTTTCTTCTAGGCTGACCAAAAATGAGCTTAATGATGAGGCGGCAGAGTGCTTCGCTGAGATGCTGAAAGTCAACCAGACGCTGAAGCATTTATGGTAACGTCTCACGGGGCGGGGCCTGGACTCCGCTTCCTTGTGATAAAATCTACACAGCACAGCATTCAACCTTTGAGAGTTTGGAGGAGTTTCGTTTGGTCGAGGTTTTTGTTTGTTTGTTTGTTTTTTCTGGGTAGTATTGGTGCATGCCTCTAATCCCAGCACTCAGGCAGGGCAGAGGCAGCTAGATCTCTCTGAGTTAGAGACCAGCCTGGCCTACACAGTAAGTTCCAGGACAGCTAGGGCTACACAGATAAACCTTATCTCAAAAAACAAAACAAAACAAAAATAAAGTTTAGAGGTTTTTTTTATATCACAAAGTTGTGCTGCTACATCTGTGTGGGTTTAGACCATGTTTGCTGCTCTTCTCCAAGCCCTGTTCTACAATCTCTGTTCCCTGGTGACACAATTCTGACATTTGTCTTGGTGGTGGACGTTCATATAAATGGAGACATTCAGCCTGACTGTTTCTCTGTGTTCATTAGCACAACTCCCAAGGTTAACTCATGCATCGGCACTACCTTGCCTCTTAAGGCCACATGGATTCCAGGGGATGGAGATAAGACATTTGCTCATCATCAATTGATAGACGTTGTACCATTTCTTCTTCCTAACTGTTCTGACTAATGCTTGCTTCCCTGAGTGTGCACACACATGTTTTTGCAAGGGCGCATTTCCATCTTGTTTGAGTATGTACTTAAGCACAGACTTGCTGATAGCATAGGGAGACAGCATGTGTAACTTTCTGGGGGAAATGTCACACAGCTTTCCAAAACAGAAGGCAGCATTGTGAGAATCACTTTCTCCCATTCCCACCAAAAGCTGCTTCTCCGTTTTTGAAGTGAACCATTTATTGATTTGTTTGCTTTCTTTTTATGTAGTTTATTTTTAAATTGATACATATATAAATGTTCTTTGAGCAAAGTGTCAATTATCCTCTCTTGTTCCTTCTCATTCCCAGAGAACCTCTTCTTCTGAAGTATTCTTCCTTTTGTGTCGTGCTATGTGTGTGTGTGTGTGTGTGTGTGTGTGTGTGTGTGTGTGTATGTGTTTCCCTCTGCATTTAATTATGATTCCTGCCAAAAGCAGGAGTGGAGGGTTGCTTACCTGAGTTGGGTACACTGGCTACATCACTGAGGAATATGACTCTCTGTTCCCCTGCAACCCTTAGCTGCCTGTCTATAAGCTTCTTTGGGAGAGGTAGGGTCTTATCAGTCCCTTTCCATCCATGATGGGATGTTGATGACCCAGTCTTGTGTGACTCTACCTACACTAAGGGTCACACACCACAAACATTATTGTATTTCACCAAGGTGTGTGACCCAAATGCTGGGATCACCTTGGTGTGAGCCATTTCTCTTTCAGACTGGATCAATTTCACGTAGCCCTCGGTGGCCTTGAACTCACAGAGATCTGTATGCCTCTGTCTCCTGAGTGATGAGATTAAAGGTGTGTACATCACTGCCTGGCCTCTATGGCTAACTAGTGTGACTAGCTTTGCACTCTGATCTTCAGGCAAGCTTTATTTGTTAGATCATAAACAAAATATCACCACACCTCTCTTCCTGGTTAGCTGTCTTTGAAGCAATATCTTCACACCCTTGGGTCATTTAAAAACTGGGTCATTTGTCTACCTATTGTTGCGCTCTAAGAATGCCTTATTCTGTACTAGACACTTTGTACATAGGGTTGCAGGCATTTCCTCCTTCCCTGGACTTTTCACTCCCTAATAGTGATGTCATTTTTGGTCTTGACGAAGGCCAATTTGCCTACCTTTCCTGTAGCTGTTTGTGTTTGAAGGCTTTTACTTGATGGAATATTGCCTAACCCAAGGTCACAAAGATTTAGATGTAAGTTTTTGTTATTCCCTTTAGTTTTCCCAAATTAGATTGACAGTTGCAGACATTTTGAATTGTGTGTGTGTGTGTGTGTGTGTGTGTGTAGGTCAGAGGTTAAAGTCCAGTGTCTTTCTTGATTATTTGCCTTTTTTTTTTTTTTTGAGACAGGGTTTCTCTATGACTTTGGAGCCTGTCCTGGAACTAGCTCTTCTAGACCAGGCTGGTCTCAAACTCACAAAGATCCGCCTGCCTCTGCCTCCTGGGTGCTGGGATTAAAGGCGTGCGCCACCGCCCAGCCAGTTTCCTAGGTTTTGAGATTACAGGCATACATCACCATGTCTGGCTGCACTATCCTTTTGTTATCAATTTTGTTCTTTCGCAAGACAGTTTTGGCTATTCTGAGTCCCTTGCATTTGAATTTAGAATCACTTTGTCAGTTTCTGAAAAAGAGCCAGGTTTTTTCCTTTCTTCCTTTTGTCTTTACTTTTCAGATTTCCCCTGTTCCCATCTCTGGGTACTAGGCCTGGAGAGCTGATGCACCGCCATGCTGCTCTGACTGAAGGTAGGGCTGTGGCAGCCAGATGTGCCCAGCTGTGGCAGCCAGATGTGCCCAGCTGTGGCAGCCAGATGTGCCCAGCTGTGGCAGCTTCCTCTTCTAGCTTTCTTCTCACATACTTTGTTATTTTTTGTTTGTTTGTTTGTTTGCTTGCTTGCTTGCGGCAGGCTCTTATCCCATAGTTCAGGCTGGCCTAGAGCTTATTATGCATCTCACAGTACAATGATGAGGAGAGCTTTGCCCCTCTGGTCACTATGCTCATTCTTTTCCTGAAATGGCACACACCAAGCCTGCAGAGCAATCTTGTACAAGTTATTCCATCTTACAGGTGTGACATGGGGACACAGGAGGCTCGTCAGTGCTCTGCAGCTCAACAGCAGGGTGATGGGAGAAGCCTCTGACCACCTTGCTACACTTCCTTTGTAAGGGGAGGCTGACTCCTGCAGCCTCTAAGCCCTTATCCATCCTGCTAGCAGAGCCTTTGTCTTCCTGCAGGGGCTCCTTCACGGATTAGTATCCAGAATTTCTAAGACTTGCGGTTAGCAGTAGCTTCCTGTGCCCACAGCCTGGTGAGAGTCCCTGATACAATGTAGACACATCCTAGCCTCTTTCTGAATTTACTTTCAGGTTGGGTGAAACTATTGCTACAGATCCAGGTTCCAGGCTGTAGGACAGAGACCAGAATGTAAGCGAGGGCTCCAGGCTACAGACCAGTGTTCCAGCCTTCAGGTCAGGGCTCCAGGCTTCAGGCCAGGATTCCAGGCTGCAGACCAGGGTTCCAGGCTGCAGACCAGGGTTCCAGGCTGCAGACCAGGGTTCCAGCCTTCAGGCCAGGGTTCCAGCCTTCAGGTTAGGGTTCCAGGCTGCAGACCAGGGTTCCAGGCTGCAGACCAGGGTTCCAGGCTGCAGACCAGGGTTCCAGCCTTCAGGCCAGGGTTTCAGCCTTCAGGCCAGGGTTCCAGGCAGTGATTATCTCCCCAGCCTTGCATGTACTTTGCTTGACTTGGTTCATCCCTGTTTGTGAGTGCTGTATCACTGCACCATGAGAGATAGACGTAGCAGAAACTTTTCCCTGCCCACCTTTCTAGACTTTGGGGAGGAGCTGTCACCATCTTACAAGCCTTTGGGTTCCCAAAGAATTGATGACAAGTTGGTAGCTACTTTAAATTCTGAATTTAAATACCAAAACCCTTCAATTCTGCCCTGCCTTTGTCTAACCATCTGGAAGGAGAGAGGTCGATCTGTTTACAATTAAGCTATGGGTTAGTCTGAATACATCACAATCACTGTGTAAAAGACAAACATTGAAGATTTTCAGGGCTGTTCATTGTTCTCGTGCGTCTGAGGCACTGTTAGTCCAATGGGGACTTAGGGGGATGCTGTCACCACCTAACCCTGACCCCACAGGATCCAGCTTGGACCCAGCCTTCTGTGTTGACACAGGTGTACTCTCCTCTCAGGCTTATTCAGAATCGTATCACGGCCAAGGGGACAGCCCAGCTGGCTGAAGCACTGCAGAAGAACTCCGCCATAACAGAGATTTGGTAAGGCCATGCATACTCATGCCACGGCACCTTTGGTCCCTCAGTAAGTGTCGCTGACCACTGTGTGGGGTCATGGAGTCCCGTTCCACTTCCTTCCTGCCCGTGAGGACAATGCGGGAGGAGCAACCCCAGCTCTCTAAAGTTCTTGTTTGCCTAGTCTGAAGACAGTGGCCCAGAAGTACTCAGGGGCACTCTGGAAATGTGTCCTGGAACCCGGGCCTGGGGGATTTGCTCCCAGTGTGATCCATGGAAGCTGGTAGCAGGCAGAAGCAATTCTTGGTGAGGACACAGCGCCAACTATGGATTCTCTGAGGCTAATAGAGCAGCCTCACCAGGAACCGAAGCCCTAAGTTCACAGCTGGATACCACTGGCCACTTTCTTCCTTGTGAGTGGGGAGAAGAATTTCAAGCCCCAGGACCTATTGAGCTATAGACCTCCCCAGTCTTGGCTCCTGAGAGGTGTTCTTGGCTTTGCCTTAGAAATGCCACTGAGTCACAAACTAGTCCAGGGCCTGTAGCCAGCATTATTTTGAAGTGAAACCAAGAAGGACAGGGTACCAGCAGAGTATGAGCTATCTCACCCACTTTTCCTGAGGTGTGCACATAGATGAGTTTGTTTTAAGTGCTGGTTTGAGAACGTTGCCTCTTAGGTAATTCTAGATCCTTTCAAGTTGACCATCATGTAGAATGTGGCTCTTACGTACAATCACAGCAAAACATTTATGAAGAAGGCTGTCACAGAGATTAGAGCCCAAACCACAGAGAATACTGTGGCTGCTGTGCTAAGACCAAGCTTTCTGTGAGGAGGTCCTGAATCTTAGGAGCAGGCCTGCCTCCTGAGATTCCCAGGCACTGGCGCTATGTCTCCAACCATCAGTGAGTAACATGAGCTGGAATGCCAGCCTTGGGCTGCTGTTGGGAATGCAATGGTGAACACACGTAAACCGTCCTCATGGGATCACTCTGGGGTCAGGGAGGAGTGCAGAGGGGGAAGCAGTCAAGTGTAACCATGGAGGCTACAGGATCAGGCAAGGTAAGGCGGGACACAAGGCAGGGCTCCTAAGGAAGAGACTTTCGACTGAGCCACCAAGGACGGACGGGAGTTGGAAAGCTGGAGTAGGTCTGAAAGTGCTACATGTTGGCCGGCTCAGAGTTTGAGAGAATGTCCACCAAGAACTACAAACAGCCAGATATCATGGCATATGCATTTAACCCCAGAATTCAGCTCTATGGGAGTTTGAGGCTAGCTTGATCTACAGGGAAACTGAGGCAGAAACATCATGGCCAACCTGGGCTATCTAATGGGGCCCTGCGTGGTGATTAATATTGAGGGTCAGTTTGAAAGGATTTAGAATCACCTATGAGGGAAATCTCTGGGCTTGTCTGTAAGAAAGTTTCGACTGCGTTAAAGAAATGTGGAAAGACTCGTGCTAAGTGTGGGCGGCACAATCCCATGTGCTGGGACCTCAGTCTGAGGAGAGATAAATAGACAGACAGACCAACAGACGCAGAGACAGAGAGGTGGGGAGCACAGAGTGCCAGTGCTCATCTCTCACTGCGCCCTGACTGCAGATGCAAGGTGACAAGTTGCTTCATGCCCCTGTCTTTTCTGCCATCACACCCTCAGACTGCACATTAAAAACAAACCCTTCCTTCCTAAGTAGTCTTTGTCACACAACAGGACAAGTAACGAGTACACCCTGTCTCAAAGACATCCACAGTAAGCCGGTGTGCCGTAGACGCAGGTGGTGTAGAAGAGGGGGCTGGGAGGGGGCGGAGGAGATGGGCAGAGCCTAGGCAGGAAAGGTCTTAGGGTCAGAGCATGTCCTTTAACCTTTATACTGAAAGCAGAAAGCTAGCGAAGGGTGTGAAGAGAAAGGGGAAGTAAGTGGTCAGGCTGGAACACAGCTTCTGGAATAGTCAGTAAGACCCTGCTGTGCCCAAAGAAGGCCCCGGGCACTCAGAGAACTCTGGGGGGACTAGGGCTACAGGGTCAGAGTGCCATGCCAGCACTGCTTAGGAAACAAAAGGTAACTTCACGGGAGAACTAGCAGGCTGGAGGCAGGCCTTGGGGACAGCCGGATGAAGGGAGGGACTGTTTACTGAGCTGGGACCTTTGGGCTGGCAACTTTGAAGTATATGAAGACATCCAGAGAAAGAAGTCAGTAGGAAGCTTGCCCAACTGACCTGGCTGTGGCAAGAAGAGGCCAGGGGCTAAGGGCACAGTCGGTCCCCAGCCTTGGGGGAGGCCAGTGCTAAAGACGAGAGCGTGAGAGAGCAGGCCAAGAACAAGTACCCAGAGACAGGAGAAAGCCTAGAGTCTGTGACGTCCACCTGAGAGAGGACACAGTGCTTCAGGGAGGACGAAGCCAAGTGAGCTGAAAGCCTATGGGGGCTCAGAAGAAAGAGGAAACCTGGAAACATCATTAAACGTGGGCTTACAGAGGCTGCTAGTGGGCCCAGTGAGGTCCAGTACATAGGGCAAGGGCGGCATTAAAGGGGTAGGGTGTGCCCCTTCACTTCAGGGTTGTATGACGCACACAGTGTGTGGGTCCACTTACTGGGGAGGGGCAGATACTATTCTATAACATTTTGTGTAACGTTCGTATTTTCTCCTCTTCACTAGTCTCAATGGAAACTTAATTAAGCCGGAGGAGGCCAAAGCCTTTGAAAATGAGAAGCGGATCATCTGTTTCTGATGGCCATCCCTGTGCTGAATCTTTGCTCCTCAGTCACAGGCAGCACTGTGCAGCCAGCAGGGACACAGGGCGCTGGGCCTGCAGCAAGGGGACTGTCAGGAGCCCTCCCCGGAAGATGCCCCCTGAGCCGTGGCTGGGACTCTGCAGGAGTAGAGTATCTTAGGAGCCACCATCACCACTCAAAAACCAGCAAGGCATTTTCTGTATGACGAGCTGTCCCTGGGTATACACAATGATGTCTGAAGATGAAGGAATGAGAAGCAGACGGGGCCAACCTCAGCTCCCACGGATGCCCACCTGAAGGACTCATGGGGACCGACGTCACCTTCAGGAAAGAGCTGGGAATTTGGGCAGATCTGATGGCAAGTTTTCCGAAAGAAGGCACCTGGAGACCACACAATTATCTTGAAACCTCCTTCCTCTCCTCAGTACATCTGTTTCTTCCTCACAGCCGTGGTTACTGAAGTAGGCCCACTGTGGAGAGGGCTTATCACAGACTTTGGTTTCAATTCTGGATTCTCCCTGGCTTCAAATGAGAGTCACAGGACACCCTCCAAGTCAGTCTCTGAGGAACTCTATGCCTTAAGAGTACTGAGGTCCCACCCAGAGTTTTTACCTGTCTCTACCTGCCCCAGGAGGGAGTTCCCATCCTCCACAGCAGCATGGTTTGCCTCAGTGGTCTGAGGTCCTAAGCAGAGCTCTCCCTTGCCTGTGAGCAGGAAGTATCTCCATGCCCTCAGCAGTTGGAGGGTGACTGAGCACAGCCAAGATTGATAGCTCGACCAGCAAAGCATGGCAGGTGCCCACCACCGTGGTGGGCCAGATGGGCGGAGATGTTGCCAGTAACATGCTCTTTTGCCACCTCATTTGTTAATAAAAATATTGAAAATGCTCACTGTCTCCAATGGCTAATCTGGGGGTTTCTGAAGGGGCTCTGCCTGGAAGGAATGCTGTGAGCCTTGAGCCTCAACCTGGATCACTGCAGAAGGGGCTATGCAGAAGGCAGATAAACAGAAGCCAGAGGTGTCACCAACTTGATCCTTCCCAGGTTTCACTATCCACCAAGGAACAAGAAAGGTAGAGGCAGCATCCAGGCTGTTCGCCTGAGTCAGGACACACGGCCATGTTGGGGTGGAGCAGACCCCATGCCACACCATCACTAACGCACAGTAGGCTCTTTGGTGATGTATTGTTCACGATTTATTAAAGCTTGACTGAGGATTCAGAACAGCAAAGCCAGCCTCAAGCTATAGAGATCCAACAGCCAGAAGCTAGGAGGTGGTGGTACACACCTTTAACCCTAGGACTGAGGATTAAGAGATAGACAGTGAGTCCAGGGCCAACGAGATCTACACAAGAATGGATCAGTGTAAAAGAGAATTATAACTCACACCTTTAATCCCAACATTAGGGAAGTATATATGACAGAAGCAAGGTCTCGGAGAGGCATTTTCATTCTCCAGCTACACTGAGGAGAGGCAGCAGTTTGAGACTTGGTGAAGTGCTCGTGTGTGGATCAGCCCTGTCAGCCTGAGCTAGAGGTGAGAGCTAGTGGCTGGTTGCTTCGCTTTTCTGATCACCAACTTGAAGCTTGAACCCCAATATCAGTCGCTGGGTCCTTTTATTTTTCGCGTTACAGGTTCTGCAGGCCAGACTTACTACTGTCTTCAGGTGCTCACCGCTGGGTGGAAGTCCAGGTGAGCTTGTGGCAAGAGGCACTGAACCAATAGTGTAGCAAGAAACAGTTCAGGGACCCTCCGAATTCATCTTTCGGCCCAGGAGTTTGTGTGATTTTTGTATGGCAGCTTGAAAGGGAGGGTGCAGTTGAGGAAGTTAGAGAGAGTACTGTAGGGGCTGCCAACCCCATAAGTGTAGTTCCCTTAAAAGCTCTGCTGTGGGGATTCCCACCCTCTCCCCACTAGAGGCCACAGTATTCACTTAATAATCACCCTCAGGGGTGGCAACATTCCCCTAGCCAGAATGAGAGGAATCTACCAGAAGTACAGAAAACAGTGGCATGCTGCAGGTCAGTGATGCTTGAGACAGGCTGCACACTCACCACATCTTACAAGAACTTCTCTGGGACAAAGCATACATTTATTTGCCAGCCAAAGTGAAACCCTTGAGAGGCTAAAGTGTACTCATTACTGCCCTTGCGGCTATCAGAATTGTGGCCTGGAGCAGCTGGGCATGAGTGTGGGTTTGGAGTTCAAGCCTATCAACTTCAGTCCTCCTGGTGGCGAGAGGAGGGCTCTGCTCTCTCAGAAACAGAAAGCAGCTCCCTGCTTATAGCAGAGGCTTTGAGTCTGCAGGTAGGTAGAGGCACCACATAAAGAAAATGAGTCTTCCAGTGGCCCACCCCTGTAATCCTAGCAATTGAAGAGGCTGAGGCAGGACCATGAGTTCAAGGCCAGCCTGGGCTGCATGGAAGGACTTCCCTAGGAGGCGCAAAGCCCTGGGTTTCATCCCTGGCATTTATTTCCCTTCCAAACATAAATGACAATGGAAATTTTGGAGGCTCTGGCTGATTTGGGAGGAAAAAATAAACCAAACCAAACCACAGTTCCTGTCTTTCACAGTTGAGCTTATGACGTATCCAAGCTGATCTGGAACTTTTCTTAAAAAACAACAACGCCAGGCATTGGTGGCACACGCCTGTAATCCCAGCACTGGGGAGGTAGAGGCAGGTGGATCTCTGTGAGTTCGAGACCAGCCTGGACTACCAAGCGATTTCCAGGACAGCCTCCAAAGCCACAGAGAAACCCTGTCTCGAAAAACCAAACCAAACCAAACCAAAACAAAACAACAACAACAAAAAATTATTGTGTGCATGTGCATGTGTGAATATACAAGTCTGAGGGCTTGTTCTTCAAGTGCTAGGTACCTCGTTCTTGAGACAGGATCTCTCATTGGCCTGAAACCCACTGAATAGGCTATGCTGGGGGCCAATGACCTCCAGGGACCCTCTAGCCGTGATCCTCTGCTTGCCACCATGCCTGGTTTTTTTTTTTTTTTGTTTTCGTTTGTTTGTTTGTTTTTAAATATAAGTTCTGGAGGTCAAACTCGAATCCTCATGCTTACAGGTATGTACTTTGATGACTGAGTTGCCTCCCCACCCTGGAACGTACTTTTAAAAGCCATGTAAACTCACTATGTACCTGAGTAGTATTAAATTCATGGTGCTCCCCACTCTGCCACAGCCTGCCTGGCGACTGTGTGTCTGCCCGGTGTAAGACGGCTGGGATCTTGATTTCCTCCTTGAAAAGGGAGACTCCAAGAGTTGTAACTGAGGAGGGTAACTGTTGAGAGAAGGAAGGGAGGTGTCACAGGGTCCTCAGTCCCGGCACAGGGTCCCCACTCACAAGTCCCAGTTTCCACAGACCTGACTTCCCCACTCCCATTCAAGTGGATTCCCCACTTGTTTCTTTTCCCTCAGGCTGGCGGGGCCTCCCAGCAAAGTCAAACAGGGCAGTCAGGCTCTCATCCCCTCCCCAACAACACTGGACATCACGCTCCCTGTAATACCCCAGCTCTGCCAGCAGAGACAGCAGCTAGTCCTCACCAGAGGTACGGAAGGGCACTGCAACCCAAGTGTGGATTTGCTGAGCCTAGCTGGTGGCCATGTCCCCACTGCAGAGAAACTGCAGGGTAGGGCTGGCATTATGGTGCAGACCTAGACCCATGTTCTGTTGTTGGTTTGCTTTTGTTTTTGTTTTTACTTGTAACATGAATTAATACATGACCCAGAGACTGCGTTTGGGGTTCAAGCTTCAAGCTGAAAATTAGAAAAGCAAAGCAGCTGACCACTAGCTCTTACTCTACCTCAGGCTGAATGGGCTGATCCTGTCTCCACGAGCTCTCCTCAGCATGTCTGGAGAATGTATGCCTTTCTGAGACCCTGCTTCTGTCTTATATACTTCCCTAATGTGGGGATTAAAGGTGTGAGCTATAATTCTCTTTTAGACTGATTCACTCTTGTGTAGATCTGGGTGGCTTTGGACTCACAGAGATCCATCTATCTTTTAATCCTAGGATTAAAGATATATTCCACTACCTCCTAACTTCTGGCTGCTGGGATTAAAGATGTGTTCCTGGCTTCTATGGCTTGTGGATGACTTTGCTTTCTGAATCCTCAGGCAAGCTTTAATAAATCATAAATAATATATGACTATATTTAGTCTTTTGCTCTTTTCCCTTTTGGGGGTCCCGACACCCAGCTCCCAAATACATCGCACATGGAGGCTTATTATTACTTATGAATGCCCAGCCTCAACTTGGCTTGCTTCTTACTAGCTTTTGCCTTTCTCTATTCCTGCATCTCTTTTCTTTCCTTCTTATTCCGTGTCTGGGTGGCTTGGCCCTTAGTTTCTCACGCCTTCCTTGTTCTCTCGTCCCCCTCTTTCCTCCCAGATTTCTCCTCCTGTTTATCCTCTCTGCCTGCCTGCCTGTCCTGCCTATCCTTTCTCCTGCCTCATTATTGGTCATTCAGCTCTTTATTAAACCAATCAGGTGTTTTAGACAGGTAAAGAATCACAGCTTCACAGAGTTAAACAAATGCAGCATTAAAAAAAAAAGTAACACATCTTAAAATAATTTTCTACAACACTGTTCAAATTTTCTTCCAGGTCCTGCTATGGCTTCATTTTGAAATATTCCTCCCAGTGTTCATGAGCTGAAGAGTTGGTCCTCAATGTAGCAAAGTCCCAAGGCTGGTGCTCTGACCTCATCAAAGGGTTACTCTATCGACAAGTTATTGGGAGAAGGTATAAAGCTTACTTGGGGTCAGTTGGTTAGGTCAATGGAGGCATGCCCTTGAGAGGGTGTTTTTTGTTCCCTAGCTGCAACCTCATTTGCTTCCTTATTCTCACTGCTTCCTGGCCACCCTGCAGAGAGCAGCTTTGTCCCACCCCACCCTTCTGCCATGATGTCCTGCCTCACGCAGACCCATGGACAGAGCCGAGGAACCGTGAGTTGAAACAGTGAAGCAAGTTAAACATTTCTTCTCTAAGTTACTTGCTTTCTAGTAGTCTGTGACAGCGATGGGAAGCTAACACTACTAAACCAGGAGGGAACATTCAATTTTTAGTTCATTTCCAGATGTGGCACATGTCTGTTTCTGGTAACTAATGACCTAGTTTATAAAAACAAACAAAACCCTGCTGTGGTGCTGAGAGGTAAAACTTCAGCTACTTATCCAGCTCTACAGAGAATTTCAATAGCACTGGATTAGCTCTAGAGGAGGCCAAGATGCCACAATCATACAGATGGGCAAAAATGTGTGTGGGGGAGGGGTGTCCCAATACTGTTCTCATCAACTGACAGGGAAGGAACCTTGCCCACAACCAGGCTAAGATTCCTAGAGGCATCAAGGGCTAAAAAGGCTCCCTGTGATAACTTACACTACACAGAAAGAGGCTGTGAGTGAGAAAATGAGGATGCTAAACAAACTTGCGGTTCCCTTAATTACTTGGCTACTTCTTTGAGTCAATAAGTATCAAAATGCCTCATGGTTTCCCCTTGTTTGCTCTCTTTCTCCCTGTAGGGAACCTCCGAGTCAGCTCAGGATATCCCAAGACAGAGTTCTCAGCACAAAGGAGATTTGTTTGCCCCAGAGGGGGACAGAGGGCAGGGATAAGAGACAAAGACAGGAGATAGAGGAAGAGGGAAAGGGGGAAGGGAACAAGGGCAGGGGTATTTATTTGTCCCAGTGTGTGTATGGGGTGGAGGGGGGTGACAAAGGCCTGCCCCTGGATAGAGGCGAAACAGATTTGGCTCATAGGCAAATGGCAGTAAATAAAGGTAAAATGGGAACTCCCATATTAGGATGAGGTGTTGGATTTTAATTGGGAATGTTAATTAGGGGAACCAGAGGTGTCTTTGATTGTGAGACTT